GTGGAGGGGGAGGCGGGTGGCAGCGTGGGGAGGGCGGGGGGGCAGGACGATTAGCCAAGGAGACCTGGCGGAGGGTCCTGACCCGAATCCCAGCCGGCGCTGGGAGCCCCTGCGCAGCCCCACTGGGAGCACTGGGAGCTGGGCCGCCCGTTGGGGCAGGATGGGGCCTCGGTGAGGGGTGGGGATGGAGGAGCCTGCCGTGACGGGGCGCGTTGGGGACCTCGGTGCCACCGTCCCAGCGGCTGGCGCTTGGTGTCGAGCTGCAGCCCTGGGGAGAACAGGAACTTGGGGTGGGAACAGGGCTGCACCAGGTGCCAGGGCTGCTGCCGCCCCATCGGGGACCTGGCTGGGGACTGGTGGGGACACGGACAGCCCCATTCCATTCAGCACAGGTGTATATTTGGGCCCAAATGGGAGATTTTGGAAGTTCTGAAGAAAGGCTGGAGGGCGGAGATGGTAGTGATGGCAGCGACGGCAGGGACGGCAGGGATGGTGGGGATGGCAGGGATGGTGGGGATGGCAGGGACAGCGCGGATGGCAGGGACAGCGGGGCCACTGAACACGAGGAGGGTCCCAGGTGTCAAGCCCTGATGTACCTGTCGCGCGCTCCCTGGGACGCTCCAGCTCCTTGACTGGTACCTGGAGGGGGGAACCGAGCACCTCCTGCGCCCAGGGACCTCCTTGCTGGAGCTCCTGCAGCTCCGGGTGCTCCAGCCAGGGCAGCTGAGACCTGTGGCTCTTGTGACAGCGATGAGCTCCGTGGCACAGCTCCCACCCCACCTGCGCTGGATTCGGCCGCCCCCTCCCAGCCCCGCCACTGCAGCCCTGGGCAGCCCGGGGCAGGGCCGTCCCCACAGGCCTTTCCGGAGCAGATGGCCCCGGCGTGGGGAGGACGGAGGTGGCTCAGCGCGTCCTTTCTTTCATGCAAACACAGCGTGACTCCCCCGGCGGCTCCTGCTCCAGCAGGGGCCAGCGCTGGCGGTACATTTTACAAGGGTTCAGCTAGCTTAGTCCTCAGGGACAGGCGACTCAGGCAGATTAGACCTCACTAAAATAGGCAGGTATTAGTGATCTCAGCAGCCCCCAGCCTTCCGGCGCAGCAGCGTTTAAGCCAGTGCTGCTGCCGAAGGCCTGGGAGCAGGGAGCAAGTCCCCGGGGTGGCAAGAGGGAGCGGGACACCCTGGCCCTGGCCAAAGGGACCCCCTCGCTGCCTGCGCTGGCAGGGGGATGCCTGAGGGTGCATTAAATGCTGCCCCCAAGGGATGCCCCGGGGTGGGGGCACCGGGTGCCGCTGGCTCCCGTGCGCTGCTGGGGTGCGGCCGTGCCTGGGGGCTGCTGCAGGAGAGGGGGACGGATCCGGCTGGGCGCTGGCTCGGGGGCACGTGGAGCAGCCCTGCTGCAGCAGTGTCATCGTGTGTCCCCCCGCCCAGGGCAGGGTTCGTGCAGACGAAGGGTACGGCAGGAAGACCAGACTGGTGCTGGCAAACGCCATGTTTATTGAGCCAAATGGTTTGCGAGGCCCCGGCGCTGGGTCCTGGGGGTGACAGAGCGTCAGGGACCACCGCCACCCCATCCGGGGGCTCACACCAGGGGCACCGCAGGGAAGGGGCTTGGCCAGTGTGGCTGGAGGGGCCCCAGGCATCCTGCATCCCAGCACCCACCCAGTGCACCCCAGAAAAGAAACAAGGAATGGTTTTGGGGAGTAAAACTCACCCCCAGCGCATGTATTGGGACCCCCACCCCCAAGTAATGGCACCCGTAACACCCGCATCCCATTGCTCCTGGGGGCGTCAGGGGCTGAGCCCCAACGCTGCCGGTGTCACCCGCCGGCAGAGCAGGCAGCAACGCTACATCAGGGCGCACTTCTCCTTCACCTCGTCCACGCTGCCCAGCGCGCGGTCCCGCAGCGCTGGCAGGTCCACCTCCCGCAGCTTCGTCAGGAAGGCGAAGGTCCCGTCGCCGCCATCCTCCTCCTCCTCCTCCTCGCTGTGCACCATGGCAGCCAGCTCCTGCGGCAGCTCCACCACGCCACCGGCCACGTGCAGCTGTGCATCATCCCGCTCGTCCTGCACGCGAGCGCGAGACGGCGTCAGGGTTGCGGGCAGACCCAGGCACCCACCGGCCATGGGTGGGGGGGAGAGCAGGTCCCTCGGGGCCAGCCGGGCGCTGTGGTGGCATTGGGGATGCTGGGGGACGCTGGGACTGTCCGGTTCCTGATTTGGACGGCTGGACGGATGCGTGGGCAGACGGGTGGTGCAGACAGAGACAGCAGCCATTTGCTGCCCTCTTCAGGAATCATCTCCCATCCAGGGGAGGCCTGACAGCCACCCGGCCTGGGGCTGTGCCGGAGGGTGGAGGGTCCAGGGGAAGACCCCCAAGGTCCCACTGCGGGTGGGCTGGTCCTTACCTGGGCCAGGTGATATTTGTCCCGCAGGTGCATCCGCACAGTGGCCCGTTCTGCCTTCTTCTGCGCAAAGGCCTTGTCCCGCTCGATCCTGCAGCAGCCGGTGCCACGCTGTCACCCCCCGCCTCACCAAGCCCCCCGCCAGAACCCCCCCGCCGCCGGCATCACCCTGGTCCTCCGGCAGCAGCGTGGCTGTGCCAGCCCTGGGCCAGGGCTGGAGGAGAAGGGATGCAAAGGTCTGCAGGAGGGTTGCAATGGGAATCTGGGGGCAGGGGCCGCATCCTGCCCCAGCACCCAGCAGAGATGCTCAGTGAAGGTGCCTGTTGGAGGGACTTGCTCCTCCTGCAGCCTCTCAGCTCCTGGACACTGGGCCACCGGGTCCCCACAGCACCTGGACCCACGGAGGTGGGACCTTAATGCAATCCCACACTGGCCCCTGTTGTCCCTTGGCTCCATGGGTGCTGGGCTGGCACCAGACACCCACCACTCTGCAGCACTGACGCCCAGGGGTGCCCCTTGTCACCTACGATGCACTGAGCCGCTGTCCCAGCCCCGTGCCAGCACCCACAGGGACCTCCTGCGCCAAAGGGCACCCGCTCTGCCCCTGTCCCTTGCTCCGGCTGCCTCCCTGTCCCTGTCCCACCCCGGGGACAGCCCACAGCGGGTGGGACCCCGGTCCTGGGGCATGGGGGACCCCAATGACCCCCCAGCCCCAGCAAAGCCTTACTTCTCCTCCAGCAGCTGCCGCTGGTACTCCTCAAACTCCTCGCGGGCCATGCCGTTGGGCAGCGTGGCCGCCTTGCCATCCTTGGGGGGCCCCTTGGGCGGCTCCTCCTTGCCCCCCTGAAAGCTCTTCAGGGCTGCCGTGAAGAAGGCGGCCATGGGTGGGCGGCTGTGGCAGCCCGTGCCCCACGGTGCCTGGCACCACCGGGTCCGTGCCCAGGGCCGGCACCTGCAAGGTCAGCGGGACCAGCTGCCCCAGGGGCGCTGCGGATCAGGGGCGGATTAAGGCATTAGGAGGGGAAGCCACAGCCACCGGGGTGGAAAGACCTTTCTGCACTGCTCGCTGCACCCAAGGGTGCTTGGGGGGGGATGGCAGTGCTGGGGGACGGTAGGGTGCTGCTCCATCGGGGCAATGGGGAGGTGGAAAGAGGCACCGAGCCCCAGCGCACCCCAGATCAGTCTGAAAGACCCCATATTGCACGGGCCCCGATGGAGGGCAGCACCCGCAGGGCTGGACCCTGCTGGGGGGAGCCCTGCGCCATGGGCACCCAGAGCCACCCACACCGGCACAGCGGGGTTGGAGGTGCAAGAAGTCGGCGCAGAGGAGACACAAGAGGATTAGCCAAAAAAAAACCCAATCGAGGGTCAAAGGACTGGAAGGAAGGCGAGGCGGCAGGCGGGCGCACACGCACAAACACACAGGCGCGCGTGCGGCCCCATGCCCCCGCTAATCCCGGCTCCACCGAGACGTCGAGATTGCTTGGGAGCCGGCGGGGCCGGGGGCTTCCCGCTGCCGGAGGACGTGCCCAGCTCCCGTAATCTATATGCAAGCAATTCCCATACAGACTCTGATTAAAAGAATAATCCCCGGCTGCGCAGAGCCCCGAGGGGAGAGGGGCCAGGCTGCGCACGGGGGGCTCTGAGGGCCGGAGCTCCCGGGCCCCCCCAAGCCTTTCTCTGTGCTTTGCCAGGCCCCAAGCGAGGGATAGGCCTAATTTGAGCCCAGAGGCTTAAAGATGCTGTTGAACTAATATCTTTGGTTTAATCAAAAAGCCCAAATCCGGGTGGTTTAGCTGGCTGCACCCGTGTCCCTGCGCGGGGCTGGGTGGCTGGAGCAGGGCTGCGTCGGGGTTGGGGTTTCATCTTCCAGCGAGCGGAGATGTCCCGTCCTGTCCCCCCTCACCAGGAGGGGCAGCTCGAAGGGACCCCACGTGTAGCACCTACCGCCCGGGGCTGAATGTGGGGTGTGTGGGGCATGGCCCCCCTTGGGGGCTACTCTCCCCGCTCCAGCGGGTCGAGGGCGATCGATCCCATGGGACCTTTCTGTGGGCTGTGTGGTGGGAAGGACCCGTGCCAGGATGGAGGGAGGCTGGTGCCTCCTCTTCAGGCGCCCCGGGGGAGGAGGGACCCCCCTCAGCTGCCACCCCATCTCCACCGGGACAGAGCAGCGCCATGGGCCACCCCGCTGCCCGGCCATGCCCGGCAGGTCCGGGGTGCTTCTGGCCACAGGTCCCGGGAGTGGGACGGGAGTTAAACGTCCCTCAGGTGCTTCAGCTCCTTCTGCAGCTTCTCCGTGAGTTTCTTGAAGGACGGCCGCTTGCTTGGCTCCAGCTCCCAGCAGCTCTTCATCAGGGCATAGACGGCGGGCGGGCAGCCCTCGGGGGGCTCCATGCGGTACCCCTGCTCCAGCAGCTCCGTCACCTCCTTCAGGCTCTGGCAGGATGGAGAAGCCAGCTGGGACCCCCCTTCCCCGCCCCGCCGGGGGCTCGCCCTGGCCAGGGGACAGTGGGATGTCCCCGTCCCATCAGTGCCAGCGGGGTGTGACCTGTGGCGTCCCCCAGCACAGCACTCACCAGCTTGGGGTAGGGCGCTCGTCCAAAGGAGAAGGCTTCCCACAGGAGGATCCCGTAGCTCCACACGTCCGACTTGGAGGAGAATTTCTGCGGCGGCAGGAGGAGGGGAGGCTGAAGCTGGCTGGGGGCCATGCCGGGCCGCCATCCCTCCCTGAGGGCAAGGAAGGAG